CAAGCTCCAACCAAGATCCCCATTCTCACCATTAAATCCCTCCAAGGCTTCACCCCCACTCTGCCTTTGCACTTCCTTAATCCTACTGACCAGGACGCTCCATTCGCTTACCAACCAGCTTTATTCATGTCCTCCTACCCTCCCGCCCCCGCACCCGCTCTATCTGCTCCACCATCGGCAGGTGAGTTTTCAGCCAATTTGTCCCTGCTCTCTGGAACTCCATCCCGGAATCACTTAGTTGCCCATGTTCAAAGCCTGCGCCAGTATTTGACCACACTTTCAGTCATCTTCCTACTCTCTTCACTCTTCATCTTTCACTCTTAGATCAGGTGCCCAGCTGACAGTGTAAACTGCTCTTAGATGTCCTTCCGATGTAAAGGAGCTATATAAATGTCATTGTAAATTGTATTCTGAAGGACCAGACACAATTCTTTTGTGGTGCACCTATGCTCATCCTTTATGATGGTCCTATCCCCCCTATTTCTCCAGCTCAACATCAGTTTCCGCCATTGTTGAATACTCCAAACACTACCCATGTCCCATGTCTTAATACAAGGCCATGCTGCCTGACCTGCTGAGTATTCCCAGCGACTTCTGATTTTGTTTCTTAAACCAAGGGCATGGTTTAAACCAAATGGTTGCTATTATTGTTGCTGATTGCATGCGGTGTAATCTGACTTGGATTTAGAAAATCCAATTTGGGGCCTAAAGACATGAAAAAACGGGAGTAAGTTTCTGCAAGAAATATAAAAATAGTGGACAGCTACAAAAAAGTAGACTGTGTCGCAGGCGAAATTTCTGGAAGCTGAAATGTCAAACATCTTCTTGTTTTTCACTAGCTGTAGTGAGTGACAGAGGAAGTGTTGATACGACAAGAGGCTAAAGTATCCACGAGGGGAAAAAACAGCAAAGCCGGGATGAAATTTCCTTTCAACAATAAAAGACAACAGTGAAAGTTACAAGGGAAATAAGGTCACAGCGAGAGGGATGCAATGAAAGGGATGCATAGAGATGTCTGTGAGAAAGATATCTAAAGAGGGACTGGAACTAAATACTCCTGCTGCCCAACATCTAAATGAGCATTTTGGGATTATTTTTATTTTTCTTAATCAGTGCCGTAACTATAAAAATGTGAGAGTAATTTTGATATAGTTTAAATTCATAAGACAAGGGCCAGTTGTTTTTCTTCTCTTTTGACCAACGTTATGCAAACTAAATCCAGAAATGAAATAGTGGGACTGTAATCCAGTCATTAAAATGAAGAGGCAATGAAGTGAATGAGAATTGGATCTACTAATTGAACACTAAATCATGAAAGGAAAACAAGACATTTTAAGAGTATTAATTTATACTGCACTGGAAAAATTAATAGGAGAATGTCTCATATAAATGAGGAAAGTAAATTAAGGGTGAGAACAACCTTCCCTCAATGAAGTGAATTTTATCTCTTGGGGACTATTTCAGCTCAGTGTGTGACCACAAAGAGTCTGTGCTCTATAGATTATCCTCAGCTATCCTGGACAGTATTAAAAGGTTTTTTTTATTATTGTACCATGTCCACAGAATTAGAGAAGTGGAGTATCTAATTTACTGTGAAAAGCAATCTTGTGTGTACTTGATTTCATTTTTTCTTTGCGTTCTTAAGCTGATAAGAAGCTTACCAAGAAGGAATTACTCACATTACAGATGTACTCATTGTATGAGAACATCCCTTCAGTCCTTGGTTAATGGTGACCACATTCAATACACAGCTATATAATCATAAAAAAAATACAACTGGTAAGGTATATCAAAAATAATTAAAATGACTTAATTACACAGATAATTAATCCTCCCACTCTGCATGAAAGAGGTTATTTGCACATATTTAGATTTATTAAACACAGGTCATAATGTTATATCTGAATAACATTAACTGGGAAATGTTTTTCACAATACATTTTAACCCTATCTCATATTAATAGTTTTCTGATGTTCATTTTGGTGTTTGAATCTAAAAATATTTTTCATTCATTTTGTTTGGTTGTTAGTTACTATGTAGGGTATATAATATATATTTACTAGTTTTTAAACAGAGTATATAATATATATATATTTACTAGTTACTAAGCAGAGTATATAATACTGCATATTATATATAATATACATATAGCAGTATACTTAATATATATTTATCAGTGTCTAGTGGATATTAAATATCCCATGGCAATATTCAAAAAGAGTAGGAGTTTCTCCCAGTGTTCTGGCCAATAATCCCCCAAATAATTTGGTCATTGACTTTATGGCTGTTTGATGTGTTCGGATTTGCAGGGGGAGAGGGAAATGCTGTGGTAAATAAAAGAGAACTCGCCTGCCGAACACTAGAACGGGATGAGAAAAAATTAAATCAATATAGACCAAAAATATCTAAATCAGGAGTGCAAGGATCCCAGAAAGCATCAGATGAGGGAATGGGGGGATCAAACAACCTTAATGTAACTGACAGAGTAGAGGAAAGGAGCAGAATTTACACGTGCAGGGAAGAGTGTGAATAAAAATGAAGATAAAGGAGGTATTAGTGAAAAATAACAGGAAGACAGGGAAAGTAGGAGTCTGTTACACAGCAATGCACAGAGCAAGGGGAACAAAATGAGAGAACTGGATATAGTAATCAAACGTGAGGAATTGATGTAATTACATTAACAGAAACATGGTTACAACCTGCATATGATTGGTAATTAAATATTGCAAAATATCCATTATTTAGAAAGGCCAGAGAGAGAAAAAGGGAAGTGGGGAAGCGGTATTGGCAGTATATTCACTGGAAAGGAAAGATATAAATAATGAGGGAGTAGAGACAGAATTCACCTGGTTAGAGATAAAAAGGATAAAAAAGGACTAGCTACGCTAGTTGCCATGTACCACAGGCCACACAACAGCAGAAAAGAAGTAGAAAAATAAATATCCAGGCAGATATGGGAGATGAGCAAAAATAATAAACTAGTAATTATGGGGGATTTCATTTATCCCCAGGTAGATTGGCAGAGAGAGAGACAAGGAGAAAAGCAGAGGGGGCGAGTTTTTGCAATGTGTACAGGACTGTCTATCCCAACACTCCAACAAGAGGAAAAGTGCTCCTTGACCTAATTTATAGCAATGAGCCAGACCAGGTCAGGGATTTAAATGTGAGAGAGACCTCGGGGACCTGATTCGGCACTATATTAAATGCAAGGATTATTATATATTATTATTTGATAATCAAATTCAAGAATAGGTGTTTATTATTGTTTGCTAAGCAGGGTATATAATGCACACATTTACTGGTTACTAATATATATTTATACTCTTTCTTCAGATTTTTATATGAGACAAATCTTTGTTGTGATGTCAAAGTCTACTCATTCGAAACTTAATGTAAGAAGCAATTATAAAAAAGATATAATCCCTGAATGTAATGAACTGTGATATCGTCAAAACAAGATACCACAGATCAAAGCTGCTGAATAAAAATATATCTTATTCAAGCATTTTTCTTTCAACAATTGTATCTACTGGAAATTCCTGGATAATCCTTTCACTATCACTGGAATTGTAAATTCCAGCATTGTGACATTGCACCTCAACACCAAAAAATAGTATAAGTTTACACCAGAAAATGACTATTTTGAAGCCTGGATAGAGGCCACAATTTAACACAATGTCCCATCAGGATCTTAATCTTTTACTAGGTTGATTTCCAACTGACACACATAATGCAAACTAAAGATAATGCTTTTCATTAATAATCTAGATTGTCTCATGTGTTTATCTAAGAAGAAAATACCCCCAAAAAAGAATATTCATTTTTGTGGGATCAGGCTACAATCACATGAGAAATGACTTGGCACATTCTTGGGGAAATGAAAAGTGAGAAGAGTTTAGAATAAGTGGCAGCATAAGGCAAGTGCCTTTTTTTATGCAGCACAATCCAATGTTTTCTATATCAAGAGATTTTCACAAAAATGATAACCTTTTTGCTTTGGCACATTGGTAAGCAATGTTTGATGAAATAGTAGCCTGTTAAACAAAATGTCAGAATTCAGAGTTCACCCAGTGTTATCAATGTTGCTTATTATGATGAACCTCACTTGGGAAAGACCCAATAGGTTCAGTAAAACACCATGTGTGGAATGCTACACTACTGTAACTCATTGCTATTTTATTGTCACTTTTGGAGCCAATGTGCATTAGTATAACAGCAACTTGTATTTATACTGTGCCCTTCACTTAAGATAATAGCTTAGAAGCTATGGGTCCCATCAATTTTGAACATTGTGCAAAATGTACCTTGTGCCAAGCATTAATGCCAAAATAGAGCTTGCAAAAATTAAAGGGCAAGCAAGTTTATCTAAAAAATCAATTAAAAATAACTGGAATCCCAGTGAACTGATTTTTGCTACTGAAGATAGACTTGAACACTCATCCTGATCCCAGCCCCCAGAGCTCTCAGCGAGTGAACTTGTCCGGAGTGGCTTAGAGGTTAAATATACAGCATTGAAAGATTAAGCTGAGAGTGAATCACCAAGCACAGACAGAATACTCAGGATATCAAAGAACCTTTTCTTTCCATAAGCAATAAGGCACAGAACAGCAGGGGTCTCATGAACTGTAATTTCATTTAAATCACAGTGTCCACCGAGCCCAAACTCAACAATGCAATCATGAGTCACCATACAGATTTAGGACCTGCACATGAAAAAAAATTACATCCTGTGTCTTTTGAACAAAATAAGACCATAATTTGTTCTAAAAAAAAGGTTTGTCTTAGCCTTCTCTTGGAGAAGTTTGAGTGTTAATATTTCCTGTTACCATCTGATGTGATGAGAGAAAGGGGGAGTGAATCACAGTTTCATAGTAAATGTCATTGCTTTGATTTTTCTCTTAGAAGTTCATCTCCCATGAAACTGATGTTTAACTTTTCTTTTCAATCTGGAGGATAGCATGTGGACTCATGTTATTAAAGCTCTGTGTTTTACTTTCAGGTACTCCTTCCAGGATGAGGAAGATATGTTTATGGTGGTAGACCTGTTGCTGGGTGGAGATTTGCGCTATCATCTGCAGCAAAATGTGCATTTCAAAGAAGAAGCAGTGAAACTTTACATCTGTGAGCTGGCCATGGCGCTGGACTACCTACAGACTTACAATATCATCCACAGGTTGGTGACATTTGAAACATGTTGTTCAATATCTAATTTTAGTGGGTAGATCAGTCTCACCAAAATAATAACATGTAGTATGTTCATCTAAATCCTTCAATAAATGATTTAGAAGTAGATAGAAGTAGATTTAATGAGTTGAAACAATGTGCATATCCCCATCAAGAGCAATATTATCTTTTGTCGTGAGGAGAGCCATCTTTTTGTTTGGAGACGTCTATAAAGCCTTTGTGACTGACATTTGGTGAAGTCTTCGATTTTCGTACCTGAATAGGTTGTAGGTTTGTTAAGTTCAAAGCAAGCAGCTTAGTTTGTGAGAAGCAACTGGAAGTGTCCATTTTAAAAAAAAATTTGAAAAGGATTTCTCTGCAGCAACTTTTAGATACTTATCCGGCAGCTTGTTTCCCCTCATTCTCAGCAGTGGCACTGAGGCTCCTTCAAGGTAATTAGCAGAAGTGAAAGGCTAAGTCATTTCAAAGTAGGCAAACCCGCACAAAGCTCTTTATTTGAGAATCACAAGATTGTAACACAGCAATGGGTTAGCATTTTATTACATGGTACATTGGGTTTAAGGTTGATTATACTAGACTGCGAATGCAATACAATTTACATTTATGAAGCATCTTTCCTGTCAAGAGGCTTAATACTGCTGGCTGGAAACCTGAAGTGGGGGGTTGTAGCCAAAGCGGGAGGCAAGAGGAAAGATGACTGAAAGTGCGTTCAAAGAAGTCAGTCTTGAGGTTGGCTTTGAATGTGGGGAGGGAGAGAACGAGTTGGATGGAATCCCGGAGAGGGTTCCAGAGAGTGGGGACAGAATGGCTGAAAGCTCACTGCCATTGGTAGAGGATGGGGGTGGGTGGGCATGAAGTATAACTTAACATAACATGTAGTAGCAGGAGTTGGCTATTCGGCCCTTTGAGCCTGCCCCGCCATTCAATCATGGCTGATCTTCTAATCTAACTTCAGCTAATAATAATAATAATCCTTGCATTTGATATAGCGCTTTTCACGTCGGGAGGACGTCCCAAAGCGCTTCACAGAACACACTGTATGGTGACTTGACTGTATATTTGTGGGCGAATGCGGCAGCCAATTGCGCACAGCAATGTCCCACAAACAGTCGGAGATTGAAAATGACCAATTTATTATTGTTTTTGGTTTTGAAGGAATTATTATTAGGCGTGTGGAGTAAGGAAACGTGCCCAAGGTTTCGCCCTGCCTGGAATTGAACTCAGGTCTCTCACTTGCAAAGCGAGTGCTCTAACCACTGAGCTACAGACTACAGAACCATAACCCTGCCTTATCCCCATATCCCTTAATCCCTTTTGCAATAAGGAACATATCTATCTCAGTCTTGAATATGTTCAACAGCCCTTTGGGGTAGTGAGTTCCATACATTCACCACCCTTTGAGTGAAGAAGTTCTTCCTTAACTCAGTGCGAAAGGGCTGGCCTCTGATTTTAAGATTGTGACCCCCTGGTTTTAGTTTCTCCAACCAGGGGAAACAATCTCCCACTATCTACTCTATCATGCCCTTTGATGATCTTATAGGTTTCCATAAGATCCCCTCTAATTCTTCTATATTCTAGAGAATATAGGCCCAAATTGGTCAGCCTATCCTCATAACTCATCCCCTTCATCCCTGGTACTAACCTAGTAAATCTACCCTGCACCCCCTCCAAGGCAAGTACATCCTTCCTTAAATAAGGAGACCAAAAGTGCTCACAGTATTCCAGGTGTGGTCTCACCAGGGCCCTATACAGTTGCAGCAAGACTTCCCTACTCTTATACTCTAATCCTTTCAGAATGAATGCTAACATCCCATTAGCCTTCCTAATTGCTGCTGCACCTGCAGACTAACTTTCTGTGATTGGTGTACAAGGACACCCAAGTCCCTCTGGACACTAACACATTCCAATCTCTCCCCTTCTAAAAAATAACCTGCTCTACTGTTTTTGCTACCTAGGTGGATGACTTCGCACTTCCCTTCATTATACTTCATCTGCCACCTACCTGCCCAATCACCTAACCTATCTATGTCTCGCTGCATTTTTTTAATGTCGTCCTCTGTGTTGACACTTCCTCCTAGTTTTGTGTCATCCGTGAATTTAAATATATTAACTTCGATGTCCTCATCTAGATCGTTGATGTAGATGGACTGGTCCTTGTGGCACTCCACTAGTCACATCCCGCCAATCTGAAAGGACCCGTTTATCCCTACTCTTTGTTTCCTACCTGTTAACCATTCCCCAATCCACGCAGCCTGGTGTTCGCAAAAAATAACATTTAGAAATAAAGGCTATTGCAATCGTAGTCATGAATCATTTGGTTTACGTCATAAATGTGAAAGTTACACAGAATCACTGAGTTCCGGAGACATGAATTGGTTTTGTAAGGTCTTTCCATCACCAGTGAAATAGACACAAAGTGTGTACTACTGCCTGTGCAGTGCTCTGATTATTAAAAAAACTGGCTACATATTAATGGTGACTGAAAGACCTAACAAAACTGATTCAAGTCTCCGGGACTCAGCAATCCTGTGTAACTTTCACATTTGTGAAGTGTTACATGGAGTCAGTTTTAAGGAACCCCATAAAGGAAGAACCAGATCTGAATTGCATGGCTTTTAAATAAGAGTGACATTATTGAATAATGGCACTCGCCTTCCTTTCTTGGAGAAGCTTAACTCCTTTTATCCTCTCACTGGGGCTGTGGTTCCACAGGTCCAGTCACCCAAATGGCCATTATTCATGTCTATCATTCAACAGTAAATGGTAACAGAGTTAATAAGATCTGAAGCATCCAAAGCTAGCTTTAGTACTGTAAAATTGTCACCAGACTGCACAATGGCTCAGGCCGATTATTCAGTGAGTAGCTGAGTCGTACAAACCAAAAGGTCTCAAGATTGATCCTGGGTCTGATCAGAAAGTTGGACAGAATTATGGATGAAGTCTGAATAATCTGAGTTTTCATGCAGTCTGATCCTAACGATAAATACAGAGATATTTAGGAATGAAGGCTTAAAGGTAAGAAAGTAGAAAATAAAACATTACCGATAGGAAAGAAGTGCAAGATTTTAATTTTTTTACTTAAGATTCTAGTTTCATATTTTTGATGTTTCGAGTATTAAAGCTATCTTTGGATGTTTGAGTCTTATTTTGTGTTATCAGTCACGGCACACCAGAAATCACATTTACAAACATGAGTTTAGGAATGGGTTATTGACATCTGCTTGAAAAGTAACAGTGAGGTGTTGAAACCACATGTACCAAAATGATTGAATCACATCCACATCACTCCACACCAATTCATAAGTGCAATCACATACGGTTTACATCAGCAAATTAGAATAGTAATAATAATAATCATTGCATTTGATGCAACGTCTTATCAAGTCTTCTAGGCGTCCCAAAATACTTCACAGAATATACTGTAAAGTGAATTGGCTGTATATTTTGTGGGTGAATCAAATTATGCCATAATCAAGTTATGAGTTGATTATGACATTCAAACGTCCCCCGCTATCCCATTATGCCAGGAATGTGCTGTCAGCCCCACCTCTCCCACTCCCCCACCTCCCCCACTTCCCCCACCTCCTCCACTCCCCCCACTCCCCAATGGCTTAATTGGTAAAGGTTAGTGTTAAGTTATACAGATCAGAAGATCTTGTGCCTGACTGTACTGAATATCTAATCGGAGCCAGATCGCCCCTGGACTGCCACAAATTGACTGAGTCTTTCACAGGAAGGCACGTGTAGAATAAGTAACAACAGGACAGATTGGTCAGCTGGGTGTCTGACACATGCAGAAATCCATTGCCATGCTTATGAGAAACTGCACTAGATTGACTGAAAGTCTGCTTTCCCATCACTCTCAGATCCCATAATCTTATTCGAACGAGAAGGGAGTTTCATTTTCGCAAATAGACTCAGAGAACATTCATTGTGTTCACAGAAGTGGTATGAAAAGGTATGTGCAATTCTGACTAATTGGCTATGGGACATCAAGTCGTGGATGAGCTCTGGCTTTCTTCAGGTGAATGTCAACATGCTTGGTTCCCGTCAGTGCCTTCTTACCACAAACACTGACAGCATCAAACTACTTGGATGCATACTCCACCTTGCAGGGTTTATGCAGATCTTAGGTGTCCTGTTTAACTCTCAACTGGCCTTTAAATACCGCATTCGTGCTCTGACCCACTTAACGCTCCCCCACTTCTGTAATAATGCCCATCTCCACCACTACCTCTCCCGTTGAGACCTAATTCATACATTCATCATATCCAGGTTAATTACGCCAACTCTAGTGTTTTGCTGCACCTTAGGTGTGAATCACACAAAATATGTGAACCACACAAATTAGGTGTGAACCACACAAAATATAGACTCACAGAATACTGAATGTGGTATAACTGGGTCTGATTGTTACTTAGACTCTATTTCTTTCAGAAGTGGCAAGTGACAAATGATAGCCAATTGAATCAAAAATAGATTTACTTAACAGATGAACAGGCAGATTATAAACAACATAACTAAAAACAAGAGCACAGACCATAGATTAATATTATGAGAACAACCAACCTTGTAATAACCCTAAAAGAGTGTCCATATAGCTTAGAAGAAGTGAGAGTTCATTGAAGTTAGTGTTGGGATCTTCAAACTCCAAGAAGTGATCTGCTTCCAAGTTTAGTCTGTTACTTATTTGTCAGGGGAGGGGGGAGGGGGTTGAGTGAGTACAAAGGCAGATTCTTTTTTACACTATTTGGATAAAATTAAATATCTCTATATTTAGCATCTAGGACACTTCTGCAGAGTACAAAGCAGGTAAAGGTTCCCTTCTTCACCAATACAAATACAAATAAATGTATATCACTGACAAGTCCCAGGAACTGAGTGAAACATATCCAAAACACTAAACTGAGAAATTAAAACTTTTATACAGTTATTGAAGTTAATGTTTCTAACTTTCATGTTTCTATCTTCATTCTTTGTCAGATTTTG